AAATTTTATAGAAAGACTTCACAGTCTCTAGGCCGGTTAATTTCAATGTTTAAAATAACAGGGATATCTACTCAAACATGTGTAGCTATGAAATATAACATAGTAGTAAGGGATAATGTAAGTTTATTAATTGCTTTTTTTTTTATTTTTTTTTTTTCAAAATTGGTTTGAAAATGTAACAAGTGTATAAAAATCTCCCATAAGTGAATTAAAAATAGGAAAACAAAAAATAGTTCTGTAATTAAATACAATATGCATTTTTATTCTAAAATTAGTTTTCTATAAACCTAAATTATTTTCTGCCAAATTGAATTCATTTTAAAAACTAGAATAAAAGAAGTTGCCATTTGTAAGGGGAAAAGAAGATTTATGCTTAGTTGTGAAAGTATTTGAAAGTAATCTCAATTTAAAAATAAAATTATTTTTAATTAATGTACTAGTAAAATTCCAAAGCAGCAAATTAAAAAAAAATATCAAAAATTCATATATCAATAAAAAAAAAAAAATAATAAAAAAAATGATTAAATTTTTTTGCATAGAGACTGCCCTATAAAAAAATTGGATTTTTTTTTTTTTTTTTTAATATGATACAAATCCCGTTTCATCAATTAAAAGCAAAAATAAAAATAGAAAACTGTGCAGGTTGAATCTAATGTAAAGATGGATGATTCAGTTTTAATAAGAACCCTCTGTTGCATAGCGATCTTAAAAAAGATCTTACATTAAACATTCCTTTGTGGGGCACCAGGTCCATACACATCCATCCTATCAAAGCAAAAAGATATTTTTATTTTAAAACATGGCAAAAACAAATAAGAAACAAAAACACAAATAATTAGAACAAAAAGTAATATATATTCAGTGCCATGGTATGATATTTGTTGCAAAGAAGGACTCAGTATACTTCCTGCTCTTCCCTACTACTGTGATAATAAACTGCTCCTACTTACAAATATGGCAAGTAGACATATTAGAGTAGGATTTGTGTAGTAGTTGATTTACTGTTCTATATATGAATATTTAATAAAACTCTTCCTAGTTTTTCTCTACCTAATCTTCTGTTCCTTTGATACTCTCTCTAAATACGGCTTTCCTAATTCTTGGCTATTTTGAACAAAGACAACATTGCAACAATATTAAATAATGAAAAGAAAAATTAATTAAGTTTTCTTTCTTGGACTTTTAATGGTAATAATATGAAAGGAAAAAATAATTTAAAAAAAAAATTATAAATGCTCTGTCTATATTTCTTAGATGAGGTATTGTAATTATTTACATTGTTCAGACTGTTGTTCTCATCTTTATTGTCATGTTCATGATGTTTCAACTGCTGTATGCTCCGACCTTCTTCAAGTGATTGGAATTTCAAACTGAACTCTTTTCCAATTACCTGAAGAAGGCCAAAGCATACAACAGTCGAAATATCGTGAACATGATAATAAAGAGGGGAACAGTCCAAACAATGTAAATAATTATAAATGCCATGTAAAAAAAAAAAAAAAAAAAAAAAGAGAGAGAGATTTATTAAATTGATCCATTTTAGAAAAAGTTATTTTATGTAAAAAACAATGATTGTGGCCTGATCAGTGGCTATGAAATTAATTTTGAGAAGTAAAATAATTCTAAAATTATAGGAAAAAAAAAAATTACTCATTAGAGAAGATTTTTTCAAGAAATACAGACATGTTTGTTGTGCCTGCATGCACTTTTTTTTAAGTGTTTAAGACCAAAAGGAAAAAGAAAAAAAATGTATACAAAAAAAGGAAAAAATTGAGTAATGAGTTTCCATACTTTTTTTTTTTTTGAATGGAAGTCTCTCTAAGTTGGCCAAGCTTATAGTTTATTTAAATTAAGAATTTTGAAAGAGAAACAAAGAACTTTGTGCTTAACTGTTTTGTTTTATAATATTTTCTAGATCAATTAAGAAATAATATATATATATATATATATATATATATATATTTTATTATTGAAACTGTTTGGGCTGATGAAGTGAAACCAAAGTATCGGTTTCATGAAATAAAAGTATTACCATGGGTTTTTAAAGTCTCCGCTTTCTTAATTATATATATATATATATATATATATATATATATATAATAGAGGAAGCATGGTGGAGTAATGGATAGTAGCTTGGATGAGGAATCAGAGAGCCGAGTTTGAATTCTAGTCAAATCCATTACATTCACTATGTGCTAATACCGTTGGGAAAGGTAAGAATCCTCTTCTTCCTCCAGAAATAAATAGCAGGACAGACCAGATTCTATAGCCATGGATGGTAAGTGGTCTGGGAGAAGGACAACTCTGAATTCAAAACCCGTGGAGGGTCGTTTGGGGATCTTGTGGCACATAGTGCACCAGGTCTCTGTATTCGGCCCTTCAAAAAGTGAGGATGGTTCTGCACAAAACCTTCACCACTATAATCAAATCACATGTGCTGGTGTCAAGCTGACAGTTCCCAGGAGCTGAGCTGCCTGACTCTCAGACATCGAATATATATATATATATATATATATATATATATATATATATATATAAGCAAGCAGCTCCACAATGTGATACCTACTGACTCCATACAGTGTGACATAAAATATATAAAAGCATCTATAGAAATTCATTGCAAATGATTTTACTACAGGAATGCATTAGAAATGATTTGAATACTAGCTCTTTATGGAACCTGGAATATTATGGCTAGGATTTATGAAACAAATCCATCCAAACTTTCATTCCCTCTAATGATTCCATATCTAGTGATATAGCAAATACTAAAAGCATCTATAGAAAGCCATTGCAAATGATTTTACTATAGGAATGTATTAGAAATGATTTGAATACTAGCTCTTTATGGAACCTGGAATATTATGGCTAAGATTTATGAAACAAATCCATCCAAACTTTCATTCCCTCTAATGATTCCATATCTAGTGATATAGCAAATACTAAAAGCATCTATAGAAATTCATTGCAAATGATTTTACAATAGGAATGCATTAGAAATGATTTGAATACTAGCTCTTTATGGAACTTTGAATTTTATGGCTAGGATTTATGAAACAAATCCATCCAAACTTTCATTTCCTCTAAGGATTCCATATCTAGTGATATAGCAAATACTAAAAGCATCTATAGAAATCCATTGCAAATGATTTTACTATAGAAATGCATTAAAAGTTAATACTAACCCTTTATGGAACCTGGAATATTATGGCTAGGATTTATGAAACAAATCCATCCAAACTTTCACTGACTCTAATAATTATATATCTAAAGACATAAGTTCTGGTAGTAGAATAGAATATGAAACAATAATAATATTTCTATTTTAGCACCAGACACATTTGAATTTTGGTTACGTAGGTTTGGTTTTGTTTTTTGTAAATTTGTGGCAGGGGTGATATCACCCCCTGAAATAATAATAATGATAATAAAGGAGGATATGCTGTAAAACAGAAAACACCAAGTGAAAGAGAGGCGTTTTCAAACAACGAAGATGTTAATATGCTGTAAAGACTTTGAAATGTAAATGTTACAGAAAGTTAATTTAGAACACGAAATACAATCTTTTTGTAAGTATACAAAGGATATCAGATAACTAATAGAAAGTTACTGGAACAATAATAATCTGGAACTTTTTTTTAAAAAGAAATGGATTCTGACACTATAAAAATGAAAGTTAAAATTAAGGATGTTTTGATATAGAATTTATTTTTAAAACAAGAATCTCTGTAGTTTACAAAGAACAGCAGAATAATTAATAGCAAGGTGATAAACAATAACGTCTTGTTGTGAACCTTGGAAACCAATCGATGGAAAAGTAAATTGTTTATTCTCGGAGAAGTGAAGTTGTACATTAGTAGTATGTCAGTATGTTTGCACTAGAAAAACAGATACATCATAATCTGAAGGCAGTGAGGCTGGTTCCCTCAATAAAAAGGCGAGCCAACTAGAGGAGACAGAGTTTTTGGGTTCGTCTGTTTTCAAATGCAGTCAAACTGAGTGGAGAGACATCAGAGATTGAAAAAGAAGCATCCTCTGTGTGTTGCTGAAGCTGAGGGAGAAGAAGTGAAATACCGCTACTAATATCTAAGTATTGCTACTTCTGCTACTACTATTACTACTACTGAGAACGGGAACATCGAAGGTTGCAGTAGTTGCACTAAGAACAGACCAAAAAGGGTTAAAATGAAGGCCATATCTTCTTTACCAAAATTATTTGAAGTATTTGTGTTTGTTTGCTTATTGTTCGCATATAAGAAACATTCAACCTTGTGCAACAAGAATTATTTTTTTGTGCATGTTTGCTTTTATACATAAAAAAAATTCTGTCCTTTTAAAATCATACTGATTTGGTTATATTTGTTTTTCTGTTAACCTGATTCTCACCTGACGGACACACAGGTGGACCAATGGAGAGCTTCCAGATTTCTATGATCTGATGACCACTCTCCAGGATCAAAACAATCACAATGTCGCTGGAGGGTGGCTTCGAACTGACATTGGGAACTGGAGACTTGTGTCTAACTTGTAATACTGGACCATACCGGACTAACGGCTGGTCTTGTGGAGTGCGTGGCTCCAGTGGGGTGAGGATATGGTGTTACAAATTGCTGCCCACCCCATTTATCCACTGTTTCACTCTTAAATGTCAGACTTTTTCTAAGAAACCAAACATTTCTTGTGATAAAAAAATAAAAGATCTACTTTAAAAATTTTCAACTGGTAAATGAGTTTTGTCAAGATTTCTCTATCAAATGATGTCACACTGAAAAGATAAAGCTATTATATGCACAATGTAAATATATTTTTAATGGTTTGAATTATAGAAATTATGCTTAAAATACCTATACTGTAGAAAATTAGTTAAAATACATTTTACTATAGAAATTGCATTTAAAATCAGGAAAGAAAAACTGCAGTTTAAGAATGTATCCAGTTTATCTGTCTCCTGAGATGATTATAAACAAAAATTCCTAACAAAGAAATGTGAAAACCTTTTCTTACCGATTATATATTAGGCCAAGGAGTCCTTTCTCAGTTAAAATTCTTAGATTATCATGATTATCATTATCCATTCCCCAAGACAAAAGGGGTAAATCCTTCTCATGGCACATTTTAATGAGTTCTTCATTTTTCAGGAGATTTTCAGTCAAAGCACAAATTGCCTGAAATGGAGAGAAAAAAAAGAAGATAAAAAATTAATAATGGAGTCAGTTTAATCTATGGCTAAGGTTGGCTGATTTTAATCTATGGCTATTGGTTGGCTGATTTTAATCTATGGCTATTGGTTGGCTGATTTTACCATGCCAACCCCTTGTTGGGTTATATAATGTTGAATTTTTGTATAGGTCACCCAGTGAGGTTTGAACTCACTACTCAGTTTCAATGGTCAATCAGACTAGCCTTGCTAACTGTTGCCTTACACCAATTGTTGGTGGGTTGATATTATGGCATATCTTGTGTTATGTAAGGTTCAATTTAATGTGGGACAGCCAGTAAAAATTGAATTCTCGACTCAATTGTAATGATCAACCAAACTAGCCTTGCTAAGCATTACCTCATGCTGATATTTGGTGGGTCGATTTTATTACATATCAACTCGTCGTGTTATTTAAGGTTCAGTTTAATGTGGGACACCCAATAAAGATTGAATTCTTGACTCAGTTGTAATGATCAACCAGACTAGCCTTGCTAAGCATTACCCCATGCTGATTGTTGTGGCTTGATTTTATGACATATCACTTTTTGTGCTATTTAAGGTTCATTTTTATTCTGGGGCAACCAGTGAGGATTGAACTCATTACTAGTTAATTGAATTAACATCCAAAATATTTTTAGTGTCGTGTTTTTTTGTTTTTTTTTATCTATGCCTCCTCTACAAATTGTATCATTTTTGAAATTGGATTGATTTTTGCCTCTTTTCATATATATAATGATGGAATGCAAAGTAAACAAAAATGAGCATTTCCGACACCGTTTCTCTTCACATTCAATCAATGTTCTAAAGATACCAAAACTGCTCGAGACATTTGTGCTGTGTATGGAGAAGGTGCTATTTCATAAAGAACTGTACAGGAATGGTTTTCATGTTTCAAAAAGGGTAACCTTGACTTTACAGACTGCTTGTGTTCTGACCAACCTATTCAGTTCAGTTAGGACTGATTGAATGAGCCCATCCACAAAGATCCATGCCCATCTATCAGGGAATTGGCCCAGCAGATAGGATGTGCTGAAGTGTCTGATGTTTTATGACATCTCAGTTCAACATGGCTAACTCAATAATGCGCTAAAAACACAGTTACATAACTGAACCTGGTTGTCATCAAAACATACAAAATCAAGTGATTTACAAAATTAATGATTTTATATATGTACTAGCAGCATGGCTTGGCATTGCTCGTGCTTGATTCAAAAATAGTACAACTAATACAGCAATCGCTATCACTTGACTTAAAATATTTTTGCCCTACCTTGCCTTTAGAGGAGTGCTCTTTGCCATGCTGATGTTGTTACATGCCTTACTTCTTGCCTATATCACACTGCCAACTGTTTCTAAGCTCTATAGTAAACATTAAATCTGTTACGAAAAAAGAACTAAACAAAATAAACACAATATGATTAGCTTTAAAAAACCGGAAAAAATAATTTTAAGGGTTGACCGATTGTCGATTTGCACTCTGTTTGGGGAGTGCTCAGAGTTGAAACTTCACATGATGACTCCCAATGGCCTCTTCATAAATCCGCTCGGTTTTCGCTAAAAATCGACATGCGGTTCAGATGCAATCTGGGCGTATCGGTTTTTGGGTTTTATCGATTTTCCGCGCTGTTTAGGGGTCCGTGGTCATGAAACTTCTGGACAACACTTCTAATGGTAGACTCTAAGAGGGTGTCAAATTTGGTTGAAATGTGATCATCCCTTCTGTAAGCAGAATTTTTTCGATTATCGATTTTTTTGGAACCTGATTCCGAACTCAAAAATCGGGCTCCGTCATGTCCTTACGGCAGCCATTTGCAAACTTGTGTTGAAAACCGCATCGAAATCAGGTGAGAAATACAGCCTGGGCGAGGTAACAATGCCCACGACAGACACACAGATAGACAACATGAGAAATATAGATAGTAGATTATTATATCTTCATTAACGATCTTCCCGATATCATCAGTTCCCAGGTAGGTATCTATGTAGATGACATCACTATTCACTCCTGCCTCAATAGCAAATCTGGTATAGCTAACAAAACTAACCTGGCTATTGGTCTTGAAAAGGACCTCCAATCTGTTATTGACTGGGGCAAGAAATGGCTGATAAACTTTAATGTCTCAAAAACAAAACTGCTCACTTTTACACACCACAGAGAACCCTCCCTGCCTCCCATTAGAATGTCTGATGCTTAACTCCATGAGGGCACCACTCTGCACCTGCTTGGTCTCACACTGTCCACTGACCTGAGATGGAACAAATATACTGAATCAATAGCTTCATCTACTGCAAGGAAAGTTGGTCCTATGTGTCATGCCAGAAAGTTTTTCTTGCCCGAGTCCATCCTTCAAATCTACAAATCAACCATTCGCCCTTGCATGGAATACTGCTGCCATATATGGTCTGGAGTCCCCGCTATTCATCTCAAGGTCCTCGACAAAATCCAAAGATGGATCCTGATGTGGCATCTTGTCTACAGTCACTTTTTCACAGATCTGTTGTCGCTTCCCTCTGTCTTTTATACAAATTCTTTCATGGTAACTGCTCTGATGAGCTACTTTCGCTATTTCCCAAACCACATGAATTTAAGCGTGCTACTAGGTTGATATCTCAGTCCCACCCTTTCACTGTTGAAACTGTTAAATGTAGCTGTCTCATCTACTCCAATAGCTTCATGTCTTGCACTTCACATCTGTGGAACTCCCTTCCTCTTACTTGCTTCCTTGATAGCTATAATCTTCAATTATTCAAATGCAATGTCAATTGACATCTTCAGATGCCTTCATCTAATCTCCCATCCTTCTCTTCATCCTTTCCTCTTTCACGCCTCTTTACTCTTGCTCCCACTTTCTGTAACCCCTTGTATGCTAGTGGCACTCCCGCCTTGCTTGAGGTGAAAAGATTAAAAAAAAAAATTGTTAAATGAATTGGAAAAGTCGAGTGTTTGATGTTTATAAAAGAAAGATACAAAAACAATAATCTTTTACAAGAGTATAGAATTTAATATGTGAACTATAAGAAGAAATTATTTATTTATAAGTTTAAAAAAAATATATGAACAGACTAAAATTATTATTTATCATAAAGAAATAACTATAAAAATAATTTTTTTTATTCATAAAATTATAAAAATGTCTGAACTATAAAACAAAATTTAAATAAAAATGAAAACAACTGTGATTATAAATTTAAAATTTGTATAGTTATGGTTAATTACAGCTAAAAAAAATTAATCTTGTAAATTAACAATTGCAGAAATAAAGACCATTTAACATTTTTGTTGTCAGTTCTCTAGAAAAAATGTATAAATTCATTTTCATGTGTTATTTTATTAAAATTCTTAAAATAGCTTTTTAAAACTATAAAAATTACCATGAAAACACACAGTAATAGCAGTGTTAAGAGGAAGATGTCTTTTTGACACACTGTTTTATTTTTCGCCCCTTTTTTTTTTTTTTAAACTTTTCCAAAAAATGTTTCATGACTGGCATGCCACAACAGCTGATAGAGAAGAGAATGGGGTGAATAAGTGTTTGAGACAAAATCACTCCTCCATAAATAATTCACAAGCCTGGTACTAGTAAAAGTAAATAGCTGACTGGGACCAAACAATGAATTACTTACAAATAAACCTTCAGCTTTGGTAAAACTGATGCCAGTTTCCACTGCCTTTGTGCGAAGATCTTTATAAGGTGGCCACTTTTCTGTTTTTCCTTGTGTAAGAAACATTACAGGGAATTGGTTCTGCTTCAGTTGGAGCCTACGAAGATAAAAGACATTATTAGAATCCTCATTAGTAGCAGAACTGGATTAAACAAGTATGGGGACTGTAGCATATGTTGCAAAGGATTCCTAAATTAAAAAAAATACATGTAAATATTATATCATAAATTATTTACTAGCATAGTGATAGCATTTATAAAACAGGTAAATATTTAACATTGATCAACATGGATATTTAGTAAGACAAATATTTAACTTTTATCAAATCTGTTGATTTCAATCTACTTAGGAATGACTAAAAAACACTTGCTCCTCTCTAATTTTTAGGCAGAAGCACACAAATGCATGCTGGGATTTCTTCCTAGCCAATAAAATAGGCTGGTTCTTGGTTTCATCTGACTCAGTCCTGGTCTGTTCTGTCTTGAAATCAGAATGCTAGGTTCGCTTGTCCAAATTTGCTTTTGTATGTCAACCTTAATTCTTAGTTTGTAAACATTTTACCATATTTTACTGTAACTTTGCCTTATTACTTTTAATTTTATTATTTGATTGCTTTATATGATTTTCTGCTCAGTTTTTTTCTTTTTCTTGTTATTGTAAACTTTGTCAATTCTGTTGGACTGTTCTGTTACTTGTATTTAATCATGGCTTCTCACTCCACAGGTTATCAGTTGAGGAATAGACTGCGTCAATGGTGACAAATCAAAATATAAACTATGGGAGGTAAAATTTTCAGGATACAGGCAAATCAAAAAAATGACACAAAACAATCTTGGCACCATTTGTTCATCCCAATGATGAAAAGTACTGTGAAAAGAATGCAAACCCATTTGCTGAATTAATCCAATTTTTTGATGATCAATGTCTGTCTCTTATTATGAAAGAAACTCCTGACAATGTTAGAAAAGCAATGCAAATTTTGAGTGAGCACTATTTATCAAAAGAAAAAACCAAAATAATTTCCTTGTATATGGAATTAACCTCCCTACACAAAGCAAATGCTGAAACTATTACTAATTATATTATTAGAGCTGAAAATGAGACAACTTTATTAAGAAACCTCCAGGGAGGTGATTAGTGACAGTCTTCTAATAGTCATGGTCCTAATTTCATCCATTTACAACTGTTATTAGTCAAAAAGACAAGCTAGTAATGTTTGGAGAATTTAAAGTAGCATTGCAAAGGTTTGAAAAAACTGAAAAGATAATTCAGAATAAAAGTGAAAATACCATAATGACTCTCAGAATGCCAAGACCAAAGCCACACACTAATGTCCCTACCTGTTTTACTTGTGGTAAACCTGGACATGAAGCCCTGACTGAAATAATTAAATTTTGGAATTACCCAGTGCATAATTACTCCTAAAAATGCTACAATTCCAATCCACTGAACAAAAATATTATCTACCATGTTTACAACAAACTGGGACATAAAAGTACCAAGTGCAGAAACAAAAAGAAAACTCATCTTGTAAAAAATGTGGAACATATTTCAGAGAATGAAAATACCACCACGTCTACTACAATTACTACTTTGCTGATGCCATAAAAAATGCAGTAATATTTAAGTCATTTTGTATTAGCATAGCACTTACATGACATCAAAACTGTGTTGCTCTCTGCATTTTCTCATAATTGTTCAATAATTCTTAAATATTAAATGAATCATTTGATTCAGGATTGAATAATTATGGAGTGTTACTGATCAAGAATAACATAAAATTGTATTTTTAAAACATCAGCACAAGAGCCCATGACAGAGAGAGAGAAGCAATTCATACATTTGTGTAATTGTCTCTTCTGGTAACATCAAGTATTGTCAAACATAGGAAAATTTCAACCCACAGATTAATTGTAAACTGATGCTGATGCCTAGCCTGTATTGCACCACAAATGTTGGTTGTATAAATTCATTATTCCATCTCTTCCAAATAAATTTTACCTCATTCATAAACAAGATTGAAGAGACAAACAGCGGATCAGCAGTCTGTGTAATAAACTATCAGCAAAAATTCTCCTGTGGTGAGTGATCAGAGGGCAAAAGACCCTGCACCCATTGCAAATGATACTAGTGCTGCTATTGAAGTACCCTCCATGTGGTACTTACTATGAGATGTACGACATACTAGGCCACTTGATGTGTGCTGATACCTGGACTGTCTCTGACTGTAGAATGTGTTCTTCATGGTATGAGCAGATCTGTCTTCCTTGATTCATAGTTTGTGGTGCCACAGATCCTCTCAACAATGGTTGGATGACTCGGCTACCTTCAGTCTGGGAATGCAATTTGACACAGCTGCGTATATTACTATTGGCATAGCTGTATGTAAAAATCATATCTGCCCGCTCACAATATGAGTATCTTGCTATTGTTAAACGGAACACTTCTCAGTTAACTCACTACTACACACATTAAGCATTGAAGACAGACTAGCTACAAATGTACATGAATGACAAATGTAATCTAGTCTATATGGCAACCAAGAGCCGTAAACTTTCTTTAAACTCAAAATGAAGGATTTGTGAACATATGTTTATATGAACTTTTTTGTCCTTGTATGAGGAACCTGCCCCCAAAGTTTATAAAAATATTTTTGATACAACCTATATATTTTTTCACAATTAAATTTTTTTGTGGCACAAGGAGCATCTTGAAATCATTTTTTGAGTTTCAAAATCACTATTCTTAAATTAAAATCATTTGATGTTTAAGAAAATCTTTCATTAATAATGTAACCGGAAGCACATTTATAATGACAAATTTGATGAAGGGCGTACTTACATAATGCACAGGTCAGGCTCAAAGGTAGAGAGGAGGATTTTCCGATTGCCACAATGCTTTAAAATCAGTGACAGGATCACATCACTGAATTGGTTTGCATCAAACATGGTACTGTCTTCATATTCGCCATTCTACAGATAAAAAATGGATAATTATTTATATTTGAAACCTCTTTCATCACACACACATTTAATAGTGTCACTGGTAAGCATTATTATTAATATTAATTTTTGACTAATCTTTGTTTCAGTTTATTTCTATTATTTCTTTACACTTAGTAGTAGTAGTGGTAGCTTAAGTTGTCCAAATTTCTTAGATGAACTACTGTTGTTACACAGACCTGCAAAATTGAAGTCATAAAAAAATTGTTTTGATTCTGTGTAGTGATTTATTTCTGTGCTTATGAATACGATGACGACAAAAAACAAAATACATTCAGGATGTTTTCATCATTTCACATTTTAATACAAAATTAAAACAAAATTTAACGAAAATTTCTGTGGATCTACATAACAGTTTTAAATTATAGAAATGTTTTTCTAATGTAATTTTTTTTTTTAAAAAAAACATACATAAAACAAAAAACTGAACATATTTTATTATTTACATAATAATTCTGGAGTATTTGTAATCTCTCAGTTTTTTCTTCATAACGTCATCTGGCAGGTAGGGGTTTGTAGATTTGTTTCTGGTATGTCACAATAAAACACTCAGCAGCTGTCAACCATTGTACCAATATCCCAATGTCTCTGATACCATCTTTCAAGTTTTGATATACTGATGAAATCTTTTACTCTGATCTTCATAAAATTCTGCACGATTTTCAAGGAAAATTCCAAATGTGAATTCATGAAGTGAAATCTCCTTAAACTTCAACATATTTCTTGCGATATCTTTGTGAACAGATCCTTATTACCCAAGAACATAGAAACTGCTTCTTTGAATGACAGCTGAGCCTCTTGTTCCAGGTTCTTCATCGCACTATCAAATTCTGCATGAGGAAAGCGTTTTCCGATATCAAAGTCCAGTAGATAAACCCTTTTACAATAAACTAAGGAGACATCTTTGTTGAGATATGGTGCAAAAATTTTGTCTCCGTTTCAGTAGCAAAAGAAGATTGTTCTTGGATATAAGACATTTTTTTCTTCCTTTAATTTGGATTCTTCAGCATCTTTGGAGTAACGTAGACCTTTTTTTGTAAATCAGTCAGCTCACCTTGAGAGAATGGCTTGGCTCATTGCTTCCATCTTCATTGGCAGCATTTTCTTCTCCCAAGTGAATCTGGATTCTGAAGATACTTCAGCATCTTTGGAGGGACGAAGATCTCTCATTAAATCAGTCAGCTCACTCTGAGAGAGTGGCTGGAGTTCATTCCCTAATCAGGCTAGGACAAATTCTTCTTCATTGGCAGCATTTTCTTCTCCCAAGTGAATTTCTGCATAACCAAAATTAACAGCTGGAGTAAAACTGGGAGATCAGATCCACATAGGAGAAGTCTTTTTGCTGGTGGAATTCTACAGTAAGCAACCCTTTTTGGATTCTAGTTATATCCATGAATTTTGAAGGAATAAAAACAGTCAGCACTGATGACTCAAATTTTTTATTCCCCCTATATGATTGGAAGAACTTTTGGCTTTTCTCTACTGTATTAGTTCTTCAACATGAACAGAGCAGACACTGTGGGACCCATGTTTTGTGTTGGTCTCCAAGTCCTGGGTGGTTGCAATGGACTGGCTCCATTTTTTTTCACTGTAAATTTTCCTCACATATAGCAAAACTGACCAGGACTGTTCCCTCAACGTCTAGATGCCATAATATGATCGTTAAGAGCACAACAATATTTTAATTTATCTGTAAAGAAAAAAACACCAACGATTATCACTATGTTTCCAATAAATCACCAATACTTTGTGTGACATCAGACAGTGTAATACCAGACATGTCCAACTGCTAAAGTAACTACTTCCTAAGGATATGACTCATGACTTGTGTTGTATTCCAACCAATACTCTAGCTTACGGATAATATAACTTGTTTTAAACAAGGATTTAATGTTACAAAGTACTGAATTCAAATAAAGTAGCCATGTGTATCATGTTAACTTTAGAGCAAAAACAGAAAAGTGTTTTATGAAAATATTACATGAAGATAAATAGCTTCATCTGAAATAACAAGAACAATTTATTCAATGTATACTTGTTAATAATTTTTGACTTGTCTTTCTTTCATCTTATTTCTCTTGCTTCGTTACACTGAGTAGTGGCCTTAAACTGTCTGGTTGCGGTTTCAAATCAAGCCAAAGTTTATTTAGCTTTATATACATTTGCCTTAGCACAAAAAAACCAACAAACAAATTGTGATATTTGGTTTCATTCAAGATTAATCATGTACAAATATATATATATATATATATATATATATATATATATATATATATATATATTAGATGTGTGTGTGTATATGTACAAACGTGTGAAAAGAGGCATCAATAAATCTGTAGACTGATACAAAGGTCTGAGATAAATTTTGATCTGAAATTTTCATTGTATAGCATGTGACTTATGTCATTAACATTCACCATTGATTAATTAAGAAGTTTATGTTCAAAAAGAAATATTAATGTAAAATGTTCTTCCCTTATTAAGCTTTGGATGTATTGATGAACCAATGTATAACAGACATACATATATACAAATAAAGACATATATAGATGTGCACACAGATATATGCCAACATGCATAAATGTATAAGGACCTATAGACAAAAAGATAAAAACACACAAGATAATTTTATGATTAAAATCAGGAAGAAAGGAATAAAAGAGGGTCATTATATGTATTTTACTATAGAGATACCTTGAAAATCAGAAAGAAAGGGATTGTCAGTGGTCAGGAATGAATGGAAGTATTACTGATAGAATAGGGCTATTATGTGTATAATGTAAATGCATTGCTAATGATTTTACTATAGGAATGCATTGAAAATGAAGAAGAAAGGGATTGTCAGTGGTCAGGAATGAATGCAAGCATTACTGATAGAATAGGGCTATTATGTGTATAATGTAAATGCATTGCTAATGATTTTACTATAGGAATGCATTGAAAATCAGGAAAAAGGGATTGTCAGAGGTCAGGAATGAATGCAAGCATTACTGATAGAATAGGGCAATTATATGTATAATGTAAATGCATTGCTAATGATTTTACTATAGGAATGCATTGAAAATCAGGAAGAAAGGGATTGTCAGAGGTCAGGAATGAATGCAAGCATTACTGATAGAATAGGGCTATCATACATATAATGTAAATCTAAGTGTTACTGACAGAATAGTGCTATGGTACTAGGCTTACACTGAAAGTAATGCCTCATATTTTATTTTGCTGGCTGATGACATCAGTTTCAGATGTTGGTGGCATAAGAGTGTTTTTCATTACTGTCACATCATCAGTGTTTTGAATGCTTCATCCAACAGGGTTATTATGCTCTTCATATCTGGTGTAGTTTCCATGGAAATAAATAGGAGGCACTACTTTCGGAGTATCCAGTATTATGTAGAATGGACAAGCTAATGAGCTTACTATAAAAATGCATTGAAAATAAAAATAAAAGGGAATATCAGTGGTTAAGAATTAATGCAACCATGTATGCGTGAGTGCGTGTAAAGGACAGAGAGAGTGTGAACAAAAGGAACAATTGAGATAAAGTGTTTTTTTCCCCTAACTTACCTCCAACTCACTGGGGTACTTAAGCTCAATAAAAAAACCAATGTCATCTTGAACTTCATTCAGACAATCAAGTAGTGTTGGAAAAGGCATCTCATGGCTATTGTCACCCTCGGAGATTGAGACTGGAAAAAAATTGAAAACAAAAATCTGAAATACCCCAAATGAAATAATTTAGATTTTATAGTAAAAGAAGTGGACAGGTTTTCTATAGTAAAATCTTTTAGATGTACCTTTAATGTTACTGAGAACAGCAGAATCATTCAGGTATAAAGCAAATAGTGGATTAAAAGTGAGATATCGGAAAAGCAAATAGATTATGGTGAAAAAACTTGTTTTCTTTTTTTTAACAGGTCATTTGTTTTATTTAAGATAGAAAAAGTAATTTATACTTCATTGTATCCCATTGGGTTAAAACTCCTAAAGTAAAGCTCCAACAATAATCAGATCTGGCTTATGACAGGCTGGCCACACAGTGATCACCTATATTGACCAGCTATGTTATGACACAGAATGCCACCCTAATGACCTTCAAAAAACTGTGACAGTTGATGTGATAGACTCATGAATGCCTGAGATAGCTCGACTGAATAAAAAAAATAATAGTAATAATAATAAAAACTCACCCCATCGACTTGGTTTTGGCAAATGGTAAAACAACTGAAGAGAGAAAAATAAAGCAATTATTTTTAAAGAAATTTTAAAAAAAAAATTTTTTAAACAAAAAATTAATTTATCAAAATATCTAAAAAAGAAAAAAAAAAAAAAGAAAAATGTTTAATATTGGAAATGTCATACACATTAATATGTTTACTTGTTTCACCAGTATGTACATATACATACCCGACAATACAGGGTGCGATGGATAAATTGTCATATAAATTCCACAAAAATGAAAATAACACTGACATCTCATTTTAACAGATATATTTACCAAAATCGCACAAAAATATCCCGAAATACCGAAGAGTAAATTTATTCAATAAAAATCGCCATTGGATTCAACCACAGTCACCAGATGACTTTGGAATCTCCTACAAACCTTCTGGTGAATGTTGACATAATCCTTGCCTTCAGTTCATCTTTGGTGTTAAAAGGAGTTTCATTTGTCTCTTGGTCAACTGTATCCCACTCATAATAATCAAGGGAGTTGCAGTCTGGGGAATTAGGTGGCCAGATATAAGGGGTGACGTGGTTGCAGAAATTATCTGACAGCCATGACTGGGTTTTCCTTCTTGTGTGGCATGGTGCAGAGTCCTATTGCCACACATAGGGTCTTCCAGCAGAGTTATAATTATGCATTTTAATAATACAGCCTAAATATACTCACCTTAAGTGTGTGTAGCTGATCTAGGGTAAGATTCTTAACCGACATGGGTGTATGATTACTGGCAATGCAATCACTATCTCTCTGTAAAATAATAAATACCAATTTACATTAATTATAATTAAAAGTGTATAAATTAAAAAAAAAAAAAATGATCGATTTTGTCTGTCTTCATGAGATCAATCTGATCTCTAAGTTTATTTGAATTCAAGAATTTCTTTAACATTTTATTGTATTTTTATTGCAACTTTTAATACATTAGCCATTATAGTTTCTGCCTTCTATATAATAAACTAGCAGTAGAGCTCGGCATAACCCGGGGATGTAACAGTAAGAGATAGATCAAGTATTGACCATCATAAAGACTGAAAAATAAAATTGACAAAGATTATTGTTTAAGGTTGACGGACACACATGTCTTAATTAGTTTTTTTTTTTTTTTACGAATTGGTCAAACCCAAACTGAAACAAAAACACTGTTTTCAATCGTTATGAGTGTACTGATTGAATAGAATTTTATTATAAACAATTGTCTTGTAAATGGAATTTTTAAAGCATTCTGAATGTAAAAATAAAGAAAAAAAGTCTTCAAGACAATAAGAAACACTACCTACCAAAAAAAAAAGTGAAGTTTTGTTGAAATCGGTTGAAAAATGTAGGAAATCCAATCCCATATATAAAGGAACACACACACAAACAACCTGGGTTTTTATAATAGTATAATTCGATATGAGTTGTCCCCCTTTCATTCTCGTGATGCCTCTTAATTGTGTTTTCAAATTGATTTCGTGCAAAAACAATTGTGTTTTTCCAATTTTTGGTGCTGTCAGAACCACTGCACGGTAATTTTACGTAGTCCTGTGAAGTTTTGTTGAAATCAGTAGGAAATCCGATCAAATATATAAACGTACAGACACACACACAACCTGGGTTTTATAATAAATATGATGCCAATGTTAGCGTGTTACCTTTTCAATTCAAGGGACACAACTCTCAATAGCTCAGTAGTTACAATGCTAGTAATATACCCACCATTCAAAAACTTAGCACACCCAAAATTAAAGTGGATCCAGGGGACACAACTCCGAAAGTTAGTGTGGAGCTGTAAAAGTTAATTACTTTTTTCTTTTGAATTTGAACTGCGCATTTGCAAGCACAGATGTGAAGAGATGGACACTGATCATTTAAGCATTCCTTACCATATCCCAAAAGAATCTACTAATAAAAGACGGTGATCCTGTTTTTCCTCCCATGGCCAATGTACTGAGGATGACAAGGGACTATCCTAACAAGTTAGGTATTTATAGTTAAGATAAGACTGATCCCGAACAAAAAAAAACAAAAAAACAAACCCTCAACCAAATATGCCAAGAAATAGGACTTTCCAAAATCTATGATCTGGAATTGGCATGTATTCTGAAAGCATCATAAAAATTCAAGACAAATATCAAATACTTTGGTGTAGGGATCAGTTTTTAGCGAGTGAAGCCTGTGGGTTTTGGCAAAAACCATTCTTCCCCAAACTTTGGTGGACTGGCACTACAGAATCACAAACAAAGAACTGTAGCAGATAACAGAAACCACATCACTTGAGAACTTTCAACAACAGCAACAATTAAAACGATATCACATAGAACTCAAATTGTATATTAATCAGAAAATTAACTGAACCCCTTAATTAATCTATGGGGGTAAAATGTTCATGGTCCACTGCTCATGTCTAGGGATATTATCTAATTCTAATTTTTATTTAGTATTGCTTAGTTATTGCTCACCCATTTCCACTTAGTGCTAGTACACACTACCTAATCCAGGGATTAAACTCACAATCACTATAACAATAGCCTAGTGGATTAAAGCATTGCTTTGTGAATTTGGTGACAGTGATTGTGAGTTCAATCATTGGATCAAGCAGTGGATACTTGCACTAAGTGGAAACAAGAACAGACTAACCTCATATATTAAATGAAGAGTTGTTCAGAATTCCCTGTAGGTTACCCAGATTGGCTGGAGGGAACAAGAGTTGAAATATTGTAATAATAACAACAAAGACATGGACAATTATTTGAATATAAAAAGTGTAAATAATGATAACTCCTCATCCAAGAAATTCAGACAGAAGGCAATCAGGTGATATCAACAACAAAGATAAGGACAATAGTCTAAATATAAATAGTGTAAATAATGATAACTCCTCATCCCATAAATTCAGACAGAAGGCAATCAGGTGATAATAACAACAAAGATAAGGACAATAGTCCAAATATAAATAATGTAAATAATAACTCCTCTTCCCAGAAATTCAGACAGAAGGCGATCAGGTGATAACAACAAAGATGAGGACAATCGTCTAAATATAAATAGTGTAAATAATGATAACTCCTCATCCCAGAAATTCAGTCAGAAGGCGATAAAAACAACAAAGATGAGGACAATAGTCTAAATATAAATAATGATAACTCCTCATCCCAGAAATTCAAACAGAAATTCTGTATCCTTTAAAAGCCAGAAGGAACACTCAAGACAATATCCTTTAAAAGCCAGAAGGAACACTCAAGACAATATCCTTTAAAAGCCAGAAGGAACACTCAAGACAATATATAACAAGTACTAAATGTTATTTGTTTTTACTAATCTCCATCAAATAAAAAGCTCAGGAGTCACTTAAGCCAGAAGATTACTGAACAATATTAAATAAAATAAAAACTAGACATGATATACTTAGACATGGGCAGTGGAATGAGAACAGACTATCTCCGTAGATTAAATAAAGGGTTAAGTTTAGTAGGTTACCCAGATCGATAAACACCTGAGGAAGGCTGAAGCTCACAATGACCAAAATGTGGTAACAACAACAAAGATGAGGACAATAGTACAAATAATGGTAACTGTCAGAAATTCAGGCGGACCAAAATTGTTATTTCGTAAAAAATACATTAACATTAAAAAGAAAAAGATACTTTCTGAATTAACAAATCAATATTTGCTCACCTTTTCCATGGCTACATGGACACTAAAATCATGATAGATCACTGGCTCAAGATCCTTGGTCAAATGGACGTCCATTTCAACACATTGCGCCCCCTTGAAATTGAAAAAAAAAAAAAAAAATATTAACAAGTTTATTCACATGTATACACAAGGGTTGATTAATAGGTAAAACCTCCAGCTATGTGGTGTTTATAATAGCAGTGACAGAAATAGGTTTGAACTTGTATTCAGTAATATGAGTTGGGATCGAATATGGATTGGAATCCAACAGAATAAGAAAGGACAAATAAGAAATGTTTATCAATTTAACATAAAACTGATAAAAGTAAAACATATTAGATTGAGAAATGTTTCCTATCTGTTCTTTATCTTATTCAGTAGTATATAATGTTGGACGGTCTCCTCAAAGATGAAGAAGAGACTTGAGGAAATGGAGGTATGGTTCTAAAGAAGGATGCTAAGGATATTATGGACTGAACATGTGAGCAATGATGAGGTTTTGGAGAGGATGCAAACAAGGAGGAAGCTTATACTTAACATCAAGAAGAGGCAGCTGAAATTTCTGGGACATGTAATGAGAAAGGAGGGCTTGGAGAATCTGATACTCACAGTATCATTCCAGATCTCCAAATGTATCTTGTTATGAGGGTCAACTGCAGAGAGCTTCCACTCACTGAGGTCTTAGAGACCATATTTATCAATCAACCCCTATAATCTTGAAGAGAAATAAATTCACCTCATTTTGATACTAGTTTCATTATTCTATCTGGTCTAAAATTTATTTTTCCAGGATTAGAGACCTTACTTATCGATCAACAGTGATAGCTACCTGACTGCAATTTAACACTTTCTACACACACCATAATGCATAACCTATCCTTACAAGCAATTATTCATAGATATTCATTTTTTAAACTGCTAGCTCAAAGGTATTCTGTGCATACAGTGATATTTTCTCAACATTTGATTTACAAATTTTTTTTTTATTTCTTTTATGATGTGAGTAAAATTTCCAGTATTCTAACTTGCATCTTAGTGGCATTATTGCTTTGCTTGGGGTGAAAGGATCAAGTAAAATAAATAATAGAAGTTTCAGCTGTAATAGAAACATGGTTGGAATGAGTTTCAATGAGCAGTCCTTGAAATATCTTTGTAAAAGGAGATATACATATTATTACTTACATACTGAGCAGCAGCATTAAATGAAGCAATGGTGTTTTCCATCACAGGAGCCCTGTAAAAGAAATTTATATATATATATATATATATATATATATATATATTACTTATTTATTTATGTATAAATGAAAAACAATTTTCCTAACTCAAGAATAGACTAAAATGCTTCCAGCTGGTCTGGAAAAACCCAAAGTCAAATGGTGGCAACAATTGAAAGAAAAGAGGGAAAAAAAAAAAAAAAAAAAAGAGAGAAAAGGTTAAGGAGTGAATCAGTCAGTCATATGTGATACACACTTAGGCAATCATGTATTGAAAGATACATGACTGATGAGGCAGCTTTTTCCCCCGCAGTAGGTTGCCATTTCTTTCTGTGATAGACTGGTTGCTAACTAGGCCTAAAGAACCAAGTCTGTCCTGCTATTCAACCCATAGCTGGAGGGAGAAAAGATGGATTCATACCTTTCCCAAGGGTATTTGTGCACACGTGAATCTAATGAAATAAAGTGAAAAAAAAAAAAAAAAAAAAAAAAAAAAGGAAAAAGGACAAATAATCATGACATTCTACACATACGTACATCTGTGCAGATGAGCGCATGGTTGACATGCGTAAACGCACACACTATGAAAAACAAAAAAACTTGCACCAATAAATGCATATATCAAAAAGAAAATGGGAGAAGTAAAAGCACTTAATTGCTGATACCCCCTATGAGTGGATGGATTGGTTCGTCAATGAAACTCTGGAGTTGGGATGATGAAGGTAACATCAATCAGCTCTGTGACAAACCTTTTATTTTACATTATATATATATATATATATATATATAAAAACTACTTTAACGAGACATTTTTGCATCTATGACCTATTGTATACATGT